CGCTGGGGAATAGCTTGGAGGGAGGGGGGCAGTGATGCCCTGCTGGGATGGAAGGGACAGGGGAGGCTTTTCTTGAACCCAGAACAGGGAACCAGGAGACAGGGAGTTATAGTTCGGTAATAGGCAGGAAAGCCAGCTGGGTGACTTTGAACCCATCAGCAGGAGTCAGTGAGTTATGGGCCAGTCGCTGGGAGTCAGGGAGTTCTAGTCCCACCTTAGACAGGAAAGCCAGCTGGGTGACTTTGAACCCATCACCAGGAGTCAGTGAGTTGTAGTTCGGTAATAGGCAGGAAAGACAGCTGGGTGACTTTGAACCCATCAGCAGGAGTCAGTGAGTTATGGGCCAGTCGCTGGGAGTCAGGGAGTTCTAGTCCCACCTTAGACAGGAAAGCCAGCTGGGTGACTTTGAACCCATCACCAGGAGTCAGTGAGTTGTAGTTCGGTAATAGGCAGGAAAGACAGCTGGGTGACTTTGAACCCATCAGCAGGAGTCAGTGAGTTATAGTTCGGTAATAGGCAGGAAAGCCAGGTGGGTGACTTTGGGCCAGTCGCTGGGAGACAGGGAGTTCTAGTCCCACCTTAGACAGGAAAGCCAGCTGGGTGACTTTGAACCCATCAGCAGGAGTCAGTGAGTTATAGTTCGGTAATAGGCAGGAAAGCCAGGTGGGTGACTTTGGGCCAGTCGCTGGGAGACAGGGAGTTCTAGTCCCATCTTCAGCAGGAAAGATATCGAAGACGGGACTAGAACTCCCTGACTCCTGGCTGGCTTTCCTGCCTAAGGTGGAACTAGAAATTCCCCGTCTACCAGTCATCTTTCATGCGTAAGCCGGGACTAGAACTCACCCTCTCCTGGTTTCTTAAGCCGGGTCCCTTCCCCACTAGCCCAAAGCTGGCTCTCCGCCACCCCTTCCGACCGCTCTACGGGGCCCCCTCTTCTCCGCAGGCGGTTCCGACGGCTCGCGGCTCTATGACTGCGTCTGGCGCTACAACTCCAGCGTGAACGAGTGGACGGAGGTGTCCCCCATGCTGAAAGCCCGCGAGTACCACAGCTCGGCCGTCTTGGATGGCCTGCTCTACATCGTGGCGGCCGACAGCACCGAGCGCTACGACCACGTGCTGGACAGCTGGGAGGTTTTGCAGCCCATGCTCTACCCCATGGACGACTGCTCCACCGTCACCTACCGCGGGAAGCTGTACGCCACCGGCTCCCTGGCCGGCAAGGAGTCCTTGGTTATGCAGTGCTACGACCCGGAGTCGGACCTCTGGACTCTGGTGAACTGTGGGCCTCTGCCCCCTTGGTCCTTCGCACCCAAGGCTGTCACTCTCGGAGGGCTCATGTACTTCATCAGGTAATGGGGGGAGGGTCTCGGATGGAAAGAGCCCCTTGAGGGCCTCCGGAATTGAGAGCAGGGTCCCAAAACAGCCATTATATATTATATTAGCCGATAAAAGAGCGTTACTTATTGATGGAGGGGGAAATGTCTGGACCAAAGGTAATTTCTGGGTTTTCCCCTTTCCCAGAGGGAGCCCCCTTGTGGAGTACCATAGCAACTCCACTGCGCTGTACAGTAGAAGCCATTTTATGGCACAACAGGCTGCATCTTAACAGAACACACACCCTGAGGGGTTTTAGGGGTGTTTTACCCCCACAGTATTTGTCTCCAGAGAGTAAGTCATCTGTGTACCAAGTTTGGTTGAAAATGCTCGAGGCGTTCCAGAGTTATGCTGTGACACGCACACGCATTCACACACAGAGAGAGAGAGATTATTATTAATATATTATTACTATACTAATATTACTATACTAATATTATACTATTATTATACTAATACTACTAATACTATACAATACAATACTATACTAATTATATTATATTATATTATATTATTATATTATATTATATTATATTATATTATATTATATTATATTANAAGCAAAAGAAAAGAAGGAAGGAGGGAAGAAAGTGAGGGAGGGAATAGGGGGAGGAAGGAAAATGAAAGGAAGGAAGGAAGGAAAAAATAGGAAGGAAAGGAAGGAGGGAGTGAGGGAAGGAAGAAGGGAAAATGAAAAGAAGGAAGGAAGGGAGGGAGGGAGGGAGGGAAGGAAGGAAGGAGGGAGGGAGGGAGGGAAGGAAGGAGGGAAGGAAGCGAGGGAGGGAATAAGAAGGGGAGGAAGGAAAATGAAAGGAAGGAAAGGAATGGTGGAGTGAGGGAGGATTTCAATCATAGAGGTAGTCCTTGACTTACAACCATTCATTTAGCGACTATTCAAAGTTAAAACAGCAGTACTGAGAAGTTACAGGCGGTCCTCACATGTATGACCATTACAACTTCCCCACAGTCACATGTTCAAAATTCAGAAACTTGGCAACTGATTCATATTTACGACGGTTGCAGTATCCTGGGGTCCCGTGATCTCCTTTTGCGACCATCTGACCAGCAGCGTCAGTGGGAAAGCCAGATTCCCTGAACCACCGTGTCCCTAATTTAACAACGGCAAGGATTCACTTAACAACCGTGGCAAGAAAGGTCATAAAATGAAGCAAAACTCCCTCAGCAAATGTCCCACTTAGTGATATAAATGTGGGTCTCAGTTGCAGTCATATGTTGAGGACCATCTGTAGGAAGTTGACTGAACCCTGGATGAATGGTGTGGATGCCTCTGTGCTCCCTTTTTAGCCAACTCATTCAACAGGAGCAGGTCTTGGAAGCTGCGGGTGACGGAATTTCATTTTAATGTCTTCCGGTTAATGTACATTCAAAGCGGCAATAAAGTTATTGTTCTGTTCTATTTTCTATTCAATTTTCCATTCAATTTTCTACTCTGTTCTATTCCTAGTCTATTCTATTTGATTTTCTATATTTTCTATTTTCTATTCTGTTCTCTTCTCTTCTATTCTATCCATTCTTATTCCTATTCCCATTCTATTCTATTCTATTTTCTATATTTTCTATTTTTATTGTATTTTCTATTCTATTCTATTTTCTATATTTTCTATATTTTCTATTTTCTATTCTGTTCTGTTCTCTTCTATCCATTCCCATTCCCATTCCCATTCTATTCTATTCTATTCTATTTTCTATATTTTCTATTTTTATTGTATTTTCTATTCTATTCTATTTTCTATATTTTCTATATTTTCTATTTTCTATTCTGTT